ATGCGCGGGGGTCAAAATCGAGTTTTCCCCAAATTCTGTATTTAAACACATGTAATTCTACGGCTTATTTCTCGGTAATGAGAATTTCTCGGATTCTGATTTATGGCTCATTTGTTAGCTTAAGATGTGTATTTAAAGTGGTATAATTTTAATTCATATACCAATGGTATGCCATATCAAAATCAATGAAAAACAGATAATTCTTGTGTTATTCTATGGGATATTCTATTTGGTTATAATTTTATAGTTGTGTGTATGTAATAATAATGTGTTATTCTGGAGAGTCTTCACAATATAATTACTTAACCAAGTATAAAATTCTATATATAATAATATAGAATAAATTGTGTAACATTTGCTTGCTGCATTAATAAAGTATATTGAAAAATAAGAAATGATTAAATTTTCACAGAAATTGATTTGCAATTTGAATGAATGGTCTCTCAATGAAAACATAACCGAAATAACTGATAATAAAAGTAATAATTACTCCAATAGTGTACTCCAATAACTGGAATAATAATTGAATTAATTAATTAGATTTAAAAACACTATTAATTGAGTTTAAATATAAAATCCATTTTAATAAACACTTACCGCTGTCCCCACTGTTATGTAAACTGTTTGTCTGGTTGTGTAAAACATATAATTGTGAACAGTTATATGAACAAGATAAGCCTGAAAAGTGAGTTTACTAATGGGTTGCCATCCCTTCCACGACAGTATGCCGTTGAGCACCGGTGCCCCACCCGTCCCACACGTATATATTATATACGCCATACATATAGACCATAGGATGCAATGGATTGAGACACACAATGCACTCAATATATTATTCGATGGTATGGATTGGTTTTCATAAAAAGCCTGATTAATAGTATCATGGTCATGGTTGCAATACATAATTTCCAGAAATTAGAACTGTATTTTTAAAAAAATTATTAAATTATTGAAATTGCTTGCAATAATATACAAAATATGTAAAGTTGTTTTATTCTCAATGTGGCCAAAAACTAGCCTATTATTCATTATAACATAT